TGACATTTAATTTCGCCTGACTTCTCGGTGAATGATTTTATGGGAGTACATACAATCTAAAATTTACGGCCATGAAGAAATTAAAAACTTGGAGCAGTTAAGACAGAAAATATTTAATGCCTTTGACACTGTCACCCCTGATATGTTATCCAATGTGTGGAGGGGATTTTATGATCATTTGGGTTATTGTTTAATGCAAGAGGGAGGCACTTTTGAACAATTTTTGTAATTTTTTAAATTTCATTATCCTGTTTTTTTACCGTTTACCCATTACCTACCTTGACGGACATGGGAAAACGGAGGTCCTTTTCAGGACCGCAAATATTCTGATTGAGAAAATTGGTAACTTTTTTTTGGATTAAAAAACAAAAGTTGTTAATATAATATCAATTTAAAAGGGTTTTAGTAGTTTTAATACACACTATGATATAAAATTTATTATTATTATAATGTACATTATTATACTATTGTTCATTCGAAATGGCATTAAGGCCCAATTACAACAATGATTTAAATTTTTCTTAAAGATAAGTAGAGCTTAGAATGAGCTGTATTTATATTTACTTTAATATTCACCTTAAATGAGGGAATTTGACTGATACAATTTTTGAATTTGAATTGTTTTTAATGATACTAACAATTTTAGTTCAATTTTTAATAAAATTTATTTAATATTAATAGAAATCCAAGAGATTTGAAACCTTTTTTAGCGATTTATAACATTCTCAAATGAATTACAGGTGCCCTTATTTTCTATGAAAATCACACAGCTTTTTTCATAGTCGCTGCAGTTGTTATAGCTATAAAAAACAAATTCTTTAAGGTGTGAAAATTGCGACACACGCTAAATGGACTTGATTTTTCGTATGTCTCGAAGTCTGTGGACCTTTTTGTATGCCTCGATAACATATTGGTGCAGATTATTTTCACCCAAACTATACATTGATGCGGATTGTCTATGAACTCTTTATGAAGGTCACATAAACCTGAACGCGTAATTCGCTGTTCTTTCGCATCTGTTGTAGTTAATTTGTGCCTTTGTGACAGATGGACGGACAGCGAAGTCTAGTAATAGGATTCCCGTTTTTACCCTTTGGGTACGGAACCGTAAAAATTAATATATCGGTACTTTGGTAAAATAATTCGATTTTTTCAGTATCGATAATTAAATATATCGATATTTTTAGACGGTCCTAATTCCGTTTAACTACATAACAACCTAAAATTGACGCATCTTTAAATTATCATATTAATACATCATTTACTGCCTCTACACGGCAGTCGATATAGAGTTTCTCTAGAATAACTTTCTTGTAACGATATTTTATCATCGTATCCATTGAAGTTGGGTGTCTGTAGGTATATGAATAACGAAATAATACTAACACTATCCATAATTAGGTTTGAATATATTTACATGTTTTCGATGCATGAGGTGAATAGCAAGTTGCAATTTTGTTTATTTTATAATAAACAGTAAAGTGTACCTACTAGAGTCAAGACTCTCTACCAGTTGCATTCATGGTAGACGGAAAATATATTTTAGTAAATAACACAACACCCGAAATATTAGAAGAATATAATATTTGGGACAACTAAGACACAACTCAGGATCTGTACTGCCAGAAATCATATTTTACACAGCATTTATTATTTTTTATTATAACATCATATTTTACACAGCGTACTGTAAACTTGGATAAAGACCAGCAAGAAGAGGTTGGAGGAGGCGTACCCCAGGGATCGGTTTTGGGTACTACCTTTTGGAACATCCTTTACGATGACGTAATGGAAATAAAGGTACCTCAAGGAGTAAAAATAATCTGCTACGCAGATGATCTGGCTGTATTAACCACACAAGTTGCGCCGGAGAAAACAACTGCTTTCTTCTAAACCGAAAAACAAAGATAGGTGGTATACAATTTAAAGTACGTTAACCCAACTAATACAGTAAAATACCTCGGAATAACACTAGATAGAGGGCTAACTTACAGTCAGCATGTAAAAGATGCTTGCGGAAAAGCAAACAGAACTGTCAATTCTATATGTGGACTACTTCCGAACGTAAAAAGACAATGCAAAATATAATTCTATACGGCGCTCCTGTATTATGGGTCGAGGCACTAAAATTCCAACGGACGAAAAATGTATTGCTTTCCACACAGAGAAAAATGGCCCTAGGATCTGTTCAGCGTATCGTACGATATCAACAAATGCCGTGTTGGTTATAGCTGGGCTGGTCCCGCTGCATTTAGCAGCTGAGGAAAAGCGAGAGTTATATGTCAAAGCAGAGATTAACGATGAGGTGAAAAAACAGCAACGACGAGGTACCTATCAAAAATGGCAAGAGGAGTGGGGTACATCTCACAAAGGAAGGTGGACTAGAAAGTTAATACACATCGTGGAGGACTGGACAAGTAGGAAACATGGAGACGTGGACTATTACATTACGCAGTTTCTTTCCGGGCATGGAGTCTTCATAGACTTCTTGCACAGAATAAAGAAAATACCAAATGGAAACTGCATGTACTGCGACGAAATCGACGATGCCGAGTATATATTGTTCTGCTGTCCAAGATGGGAAAACGGAAGGTCTGCCTTATTTTCGGATGTAGGAATGTTAACTTCGGACACCTTGATTATAAAATTGACCAAAACTAGCGAAATATGGGGAAAGGTAGGGGCATTTATGAAAGAAATAATAATAGAGAAAGGAAAAGATGAAAAGGCGAGAAATGCAGAACTATCCTAAAAATAGATAGGATAGAATATAGACAAAAAAAATAACATAGATAAGATATAAACCCCAAGATCACGTATGAACCCGAAGTAATGCCATGCGGCGGTTCCGCATGGCATAAGTATTTTTTTTTTTAAATTACGCGCATTCAAAATTTCAAAATTCAAAAAAAAGTTTATAATAATATAGTGCCTAATGTTGTATAGATAATGAATGGTACGGAACGCTTCGTGCGCGAGTCCGAGTCGCACTTGACCATTTCTTTATTATTAAAACAGAGATATTTTCTTTTTTACCATTGCTCCATGTGAAACACCTTGTATATAAATGCACAAGATTGATGTCAGTGTTTAGTTTACTGGTAAACATCTGAGTAAATTAGTACAAGTTATCTTTAGAAGTCCGAACCCGCTAGGCTGGTTTACGTACAACGTTTGTTTGAAATTTTCGGCTAATAAATAGAATGGATTTCCAAAAATACGAACTTTTCGAAAATGAGATACTGGCTGGCTAAGTGATACGGAAAGTGTATAAAACCAATTTAAAATTTTATGGATATGGTCAGGATAGGAACTTTGTAAACATAGATAATAGCGGGAGTCCATAAAATTGATGTGTTTTGATTTTTTTTTAAATATTATTATGATCTGTCATAAACTTATCAAATACGTTAGTAAGTATTTTTAGATAAATTTGAAAATTTCAGAGTTTGTAGGAAATTTTATGTACTTTTAGAAACCATAAAATTATTGTGGCACTGGGGGGTTTGTAAGGGGGTATGGGAGGGGGTTAAAAATTTTAAAAAATCGTAATTCCAAAATTACAATAGCTAGCGAAACGCCGGTTTTCAATTCAAGATTTAGAATAATATTTGCAACAAAATTTGTAATAACATCAAAATCAGTCAAAGTCGCAGTTTTTGAGATATTCCGTGTTTCCGTAGTCCGTTTTTGAGAAAATCCGTGTGGAGAACTCCAAACTCCCATCGGACGCGACCCCAGGTGGCGGATACGGGAAATAACCGCGGACCCAAATTGGAAAAATTCCTTTACTTTGAAACTAAAAGAACTGCCTACCAACTTTTTATTAACATATTTTAGTATGGTTTTAACCAATTCTTTTTAACTGTTTTCGAGGTGATTGGAAAAATAGTAAACATGATAGTAAAATTTTGAAAATTTCAGGCTTTGTAGGAAATTTTATGTAGTTTTAGAAGCCCTAAAATTATTGGGGCTTCAATATTTCGGTTTCTTGATAAAACTAATTTTTTAAACCCTTGTTTGAAAGTAATTTTTGATAATGGTTAAAACTTTGTCTACATCTAGTACCATACACGTAAGGCCACATTGACGTATATTGTCGTATTCTACGTACTTTAATTAGTAAATACCAATAGTTATATTAAAATCGGCGACTTGACCAAAATTCCTAATTTTCACGAGTATTGTGTGGAAAAATGTCGAAAAATTTTCATTTTTGGATTTTTTTTAACCGTTTTCGAGCTGCTTGGAAAAATAGTAAACATCGTCGTAAAATTTTGAAAATTCCAGGGTTTGTAGGAAATTTTATGTACTTTTAGAAACCATAAAATTATTGGGGCCTAGATAGTTTGTCTTGGAAAAAAAAACGATTTTTTGAAGCCTTGTTTTTGAGCAATTTTTCATAATATTTAAAACTTGGTCTACATCTAGTACCATACATGTAAGACCACAAAGACCTATATTCTCATATTCTACGTACTTCAATCAGTAAATACCAGTCGTTTTATCAAAATCGGTGACTTGACCAAAATCTCTAATTTTCATGAGTATTTCATTCATTTCTTGATGCGACAAAATACATTTTTTGGAAGGTAGCTTCGAAAAAATATTTTTTTTTCTCAAAAAGTATGTGCAGCGGCGTTTTTTAACAAAAGACAAAAAGTGTAGTTAATACTAGAGGGTTTAATTTCCGAAAAAAAAATCTGCCGTCGGTAGAGTTGGAAAATATTTAAAAATTGGAAATCCATGTCACCGATTTTGTACTAAAATCGCCAATTTTCATGTTATAAAAAATTTTTCCACATTTTTAACTGTTTTACGAATTACGCGGTACATAAACAGCTGTAAAAAATATGAGTAACATTTTTTTTATCTAAAAATTGTTAATAAAAATAATTAGACCCATTTTTGACGTTACGATCGCGAGATACATCGTAAATCCTCCTTAACGCGAACGAATTATTGCGATCTTATCTAAATCAGGTTAGCCGCGACTCACAGCCATCTCGAAATCGGCGAAATTTCCCACATTAGCAGTAACCAGCGAACATCGGCGCGGCCTGCTACGATTTCCGTCGGTTACAGTGAGATTTTCACGATTTTCCACGTATTCGAGTTTCCCTGAATGAAAATTTCCCTAACTATTTAATTTTCGGATGGTGCGAGGTGGGAAAATTAGTAAAATTGGATTTTGTAGGTGTAATTGAAGGAAACTTAGTTTTCTGTGATCTAAAAGAGTGTGTTTGTGATTAGTTAAACTTTTATGGAAAATTTTGGATGATTTTCTCATACCCGGATTATCACTCAAAGGTAATTTTTTAAGAAACTTTTTTTGAGCAAGCTTTTGACTTTTTTGGGGAAATTATACAGGGTGAGTTTTAAAGAAGTGCAAATATTTTGAGGGGTGGAAAACTTTGATCCCAGGAACACGTCTATGAGGCTTTTTTCGCAAAAAGATATTAAATCGTGTATTTTCTTTTAAATTTTCCTGTATATTTTTAAAAACTTTTTAGAACCCCAAATTTTCCCGCTGTGTAATTTCTTAACCTCTGATTACCATGGTTACGGCTTAGCTCTGTGGTTACCACACTAAAAGGGATACAAATACGAAAAAAATCCGGTGGCTCTCAAAATTTTAGCAAAAAATCATTTTTATTTGAAAATTTTCAAAGTAAAATAACTCGTTTATTTTGGACTTATTTAAAAAACGGTAAAGAGGAAATATGATTCTTTTATCGAGATCTACCAGCCCTGAATATATTTGCACTTATTTAAAACCCACCCTGTACATTCAAAGGAAAAAACTTGTTAAAAAATATTTATTTAAAAAAGTATGTGATATTGGCATGAATTTAATTAAAAAAAAAAAATATTCTATATGCATGCTAGCAATATTGTGTTTACCATGTTTTTTTTTAATTATTAAAAATGATAGACACGCTAAACAAATAAATCAATAGAAACAACTATTAACACTATGAAACATGCTATTATTATTTACTATGTAGCAGTTACCGTATGATCGAAAAAAAAACAGCGTCAAAGACAGCTAGGGACTGACAGTCGATAGTAATTTTAACGAGGTCAACTCTAGATGTCGTTTTCTAAAAATTCAGAGAAAACTTAGGGGTAAAATAAAAAAAAATAAAAAAAATACGGGCTAGTAATATTATCGGTTTAACACTTGTACATTTTGTACATTTCTTTCTTTAAAAAAAATCTAAAATCTCAATATTCCATGGGTATATATTAATATACCAAATCCTACCATAAAATATACCATAATATAGACCTCATTTATCAAAATGAGGTCTAAATTATAAGAAAATGCTTTTTCTACGAAAACTTGAAGAGATAGGTAAAAAATAGCAAAATACAATTTGATAGACAGTCAAATTGTGTATCGGATTCTCATAAAATATACAGGGTGTTCCATTTAAATTAAACAAGTTATTGCCGTTTAAAGCTAGTAATTATTTAAAATAAAATTTTAGACACCCTGTATAAGGTAGTGTTATTTTTATCATTGCAACACAAAATTGAGTAAATCGAAAAACTTCAGTACAATTATTTGGTTTTACAAACTTAAATACGCCAGAGAAATGAAGCCTTAAAATTGTTACTGCATTTTCACAAAATCATAAATATTTCAAAAACGGTAAGATTAAAGTGCTGTAAACCTTAATCAAATTTACCTTTATTTTAATCGTAGAAACTAAAAATGTAATAATATACAGGGTGTTCCATTTAAAAAAATACAACTTTGATATTTTTTGTTTATTTGGGACACTCTGTACCTTTTGAAAATCGTTTTAAATTGTAGCTTTAGTAGTTCTCCAATGATCCCAACACTTATAATTTCTGAAAATCTAACAATGGCTACAATACTCCGTGACCACATAAAAAAAGGAGAATGTACATAAGCAGCCTCCGGCATCATCGAAATTTTCGATTAAAAGTGTAGGCTTGGCGCGCTAAATCTATCGCGACTGCCATGGAAATTCTATTGTTTGTGGCTGGCCGACGCGACGCGAATGTCATTACTTTATAAATTGAAAAACTTCACAATAAAATGTCAAAAATAACGCAAATAAATAAAGATTTCGAAAAACTCACCCTTTTAAAAGACGTAACAGACTCCTAGGAAGATTTCAGTACAAAAACAATCACCTAATCACAAGTATTTCTGCAAAAATAGCGAGATGAAAAATCGAAATATTTTTCCGCATGTCTTTTGCCCGGGTTTAGTTCACTACTGGCAAATTTGTTGTTATTTTGTAGGGTGCTGCGGCCGATTGACAATTAAATGATTTGGGTTTGTTTTGTTATGATCTTAGTAAAGACATATGTGATTGATTTTTTACCTATATAACGTAGGTTTTAATGAAAATCTTGATGTTGTAGAGATAAATGGTTTTAATATAGGTAATAAAAGGGAGTTTTCTGAGAAATTTGTGGGTATTATTCAATATTATAATTAATATTATAGGCTTGGTGCGTTCTCCGCCGGCGCTGCCATCATCGGAGAAAATATATACGGGTTTAAATAACGAGTATACGAAAAAAAGTTAATATTAAATGTAATTATTCTAAAATTGGGAAGTATAACTTATGAAAATTCTAAAAAAAATAAAAAAGTTAATATTTTGATATTTTCAGAAGGTCTACCTTGTATTATAATTTCTTATTGAAGTTATAGTTCAGTCATTGGGGATTTTTGCTTGGAAAAAAGTCCGGAAGTTTTGCAACTTTGCAGGTTTATAGGTTTTGGGGTCCCAGATTTCCATACTTGCCGCCGGCGCCGCCATCTTGCCAAGATGGTGCCCAAAATCGGTATTTTGTGAATATCTCGAAAACTATGCGTTTTTCGCGAAAAATTGAGGAGAGCAAAATTAAAGAGAATAAAATTTCCTATAAAAAAGGTTTTATGAAAATTTTCGCTAAAGTCAACCGTTTAGACACAAAATCCCTGGAAATTTTACAATTTTGCGTAAAATTTGATATATTATGTATAGTCGATTTTCCGAAATCAAATGTCGATTAGGGTTCACTAAAACTAGTTTTAGTTTAGTTTCTTCAATTTTGTCATAAAACAGTGGCGTATCATTAATTCGCTCATTAATTTATGAATAATTAATTTTAATTATTGAAAATGTGCACTTGTTTCCACACAACCCAAGAGGTAAAGTATACGGCGCGTTTATTTTAACGTGGTCTCCCCGGAGGCCTACTCCACTAAATAAATTAAAAACTTTAACTTATCTGCACAAGCCCGACGGATCTGGCTCATTGATGTCAAAGTCGATCGTGTCTGCTGTGCTGGGCTCATCAGGGTGGTCTCTCAATACGTCCAACTCTTCATCTTCAGCCGCCAGAGGGATATCTACAGGCAAGTCCAACTCCTCTTCATCGGATTCGTCAAGTGACACTTCAGTGACGTTGTCACAGGATTTCCCATTGCAGTATGCACAAATCATTGAATATTTTAATCCTGGTTTTCTGCATCCGCAGGCTTTGCCATAGTTGTTGGTTTTGCATTTACAGGATAAAAATGCCAACAGTTATTTTGGAGCTGGATTTTTCAACGTTGTGACTCCAACCCCATTCTTCGGCATCTGTGGTACAACCAGACCAATGCTGAACCTGGTGGTAAGTTCGCAATGAATGCTGTCCAGCACGACAATTAATTATTCATAAATTAATGAGCGAATTAATGATGCGCCACTGTTTCATGACAAAATTGAAGAAACTAAACTAAAACTAGTTTTAGTGAAGCCTAATCGACATTAATTAATAAAACTTTTTAGATGAGTTATTCAACTACGGTAGCGAGCATAGTTTTACACACCGGTTTTGCTAGTAGGGACATAACTTGGGCTATTTGGGCTATAACCACATTATTTGGAGGTACATAATTATATTTTTATAAGACATTCATAAAAAATTTAGGCACTAGTTGGTTAAAAAAAAATATACCATTAATATTGCATATTATATTTTATCCTCTCATAGTATATGCCTATTTAATTTTTTGATAATGTAAGGGGCACTTTGTTTACTCACTTGTTTCGTCGAACTGCTTGAATCCATTTTTGCTATTGATCAAATCGGTGTAAGAAATTATGAAGCTATAAAATGTTGTTTCGGGAGAGTTGAATATCCGGGAAAGTTGAGTTATTGAATGTTAGTGCACCCAACTACAAATTACCTAAAACAGATGCGAAAGAAATCGACTGCATCGGAAACCGCTCGGCAAACCCGACACGCCTATTGAGTGGTGTAAATACACCAGTCGTTTAGTCCGGAAACCTATACTGTGTCGTATTCGCTTGCTGGAATGACATAGTGCGTGGTTATATGTTTCTTTTTAAAAACGGGTGTAGGATTTTTGTTGAACTTTTGAACTGTTATTTCTAAGTTTTGGTAATTTGTATATCTTATTTAAAATGGGATACAAATGTGTTTATTTATAAGGAAAAAAAGATATTTATAGTATAAAAAATTAATTTATTTAACAAAATTTAATTAAAAATGTGACAAAATAGTTACCTTTCTATTGGTTCTATCGGACTTTTTTCGACTATATAAATCTTTATTTGTAAACTTTAAGACATCAAATATTTTCAATCTAATAAATAATTTAATGATGTAAATAAGAGGAAATTTCTCACATGGGTGGTCAAATTTTATTGTTTTCATTACATCAAACAGCCTCTGAGAAATGTTTTCAACTCAAAATGCCTTTAATTATGTTTGACTACATCATTAAAAAGGGTCTTCAAATACATCAATGTGATATTTGTCTAAAATTTGCAAAAGAATCCGAATCTCTGGATAACTCGAAATTATTTACCCATTTAAAAACCTTTGATCATGAAAGTGGAAAAATTTGTTCATTTTATTTACAGGCTGGAAAAATGATTTATATTAAATTTTGATGAGTTTTGCACTGAAGAAAACATTCAGAGGCTGTTTGATATAATCAAAACTATAGAATTTGACCACCCATGTGAGAAATTTCCTCTTATTTACATTTACATTAAATTATTTATTAGATTGAAAATATTTTATGCATTAAAGTTTACAAAAAATAAAGATTTATATAGTCGAAAAAAGTCCGATAGAACCAATAGAAATGTAACTATTTTGTCACATCTTTAATTAAATTTTGTTAAATAAATTAATTTTTTATACTATAAATATCTTTTTTTTTCCTAATCTCCTACGAGCTGATATAATATGACGAGCAATCTATTAAATTACTGTGAGATTATACAGAAAAGTCCACAGACTTCGAGACATAGGAAAAT